TGAATCCCAGCGTAAAATATTTATGGATTAAGCCAATAACTAATACAAACAAATATTTGTCAAAATTGTCAGATATTAGCATTTTTTCCAAACCAAATATATACGAACTTAAAGTAATTTCATTTGTAACTATATTTTTTAGTTTACACGATTTTTATGTAGTTTTTACAGATTGAGTATAAAATTAATTTACCTATTCAGATTATTGTATATCTTTTTGGTTGAATTTTTTAGTCATATATGGCGACCTTTGTCGAATATTTTATTCTAAGGGCATAACTTAGTTTATCCAAAACAATATCAGCCAGAAATTTCTTACATATGGATTTATGCTATCGTAGATTATGATAGGTAATTTAATTTAAACCAACAGAAAAAATAATGCAATACTTAAGATTATTATGTATGATTTTTTGATTAAATTTACAATCCATTTCTCGATATTTTTAAGACCAGTTTTTTGACGTTGATTGAATTACACTTCATCAAAGTTTTCTTGAAAGATGCTGAATCGATTTCAAAAATTCAAAAACCATTCGATGTAACTTGATAACGTTTCTCAGTTTTGCACGACGATCGTTCAGTTCAAGCCGTTTCCTTGTGATTAGCAGAAAAGTGAAATAATTGAAACTTCTTAGCAAATGTTTTAATTCGATTTTTAAAATTCAAAACAAGAAGTTCAAGGTTTGATGCCCTGACCTCGTACAGCCTGATCTCAAGCAGTAGTGACATCGGTTTTCATTTGAAAAAGTAGATTGCAATATATTTGTTAGTGAAAATAACAGTAGCTTAGCATTGCCAATAAAAATAGGTAGCATTAGAGAATTTTCATAAGAAAATTTATGAAATAGAGATAAATTAACGGTTGGGTTAGCCTTCTAAAAAGCCATGTTATTCAGAAGTCAACATAACATGCTTATGAGACTCTCGAGTTCTGATTGCTGTTAACAATATTAATCGATGAATTAAAGGAATATCATTTTATAATTCAATATTTAATAGATATAAAGCAAAAGCATGATAAAAGCGATAGTAATTTTTGATTTAATATGCAATCTTATTTAAAATTTAATTTTATAGTACTTAGTGTTTTTTAATTCGTTGGCAATTAAAATTTAATTACAATTCAATTAATATACATTAATTTTTTAAGTATGCTCAATTAATATAAGTATTTAATAATAGCTCGTCCTGTACGACTGCATTACAATAAGCATTAAAATCCGGAAACGAGTCTTACCTACGCAAAACAACGACAAAATAATTACATCATTGTGTAAACTGTAATAATTGTAGGAAAGCAATAAATTTATATAACTCTTAGTAATTTGTCAAATTAATTCAAGTCGACTTTGTACAAATGACTTCCTGTCCTCGCCGAAAGCGCGCGAGATTTGAATTTTGAATGTTGACCTCCGCTCGGACAGCACAAATACATTATTTTTTCTCCAGGAGCGTTAATTGATTAAATCTATATGCATCGCGAGATAAGAAAAAGCCAAATTTGTTTATATAATTATGTAAACCCCGACAAATGCTTGTTTCATGAGAAATGTATAACCTTGTAACCTTAGATGTTGCAGCAGATTAAAAAAAAATTCTACGTCCATGTGGATTTTTAAACATATGTATAAATGCGTTTGATCTTGACAATTGAACTTTTGTGTCAATACTATCGATAGCTGTATAATCGATTTAGAAACCTGTGCCAGAGGTTTTTATACATAGGTTATTCAGACAGGGCTGGGAATCCAATCAAAAATTATAAATAGTATAATTTTTACAAATACTTCTCCTCAGACAAATTGCTGCAACAGATTTCAGCATTCCATAATTCGGCATGTAACACTAAATTTTCACCTTACGATTTATTTACTTATATATTTGATTTTTTGCAAAATCATAACCCTGATCTCTTGAATATTTTTTCAATATGCCACTAGATAATTTTTATTTGCAAAAAAGTAATTGCAATTAGTATTGAAATAGTAGATAACCATAAAAACGGCAATGCTGACCTTCAGATGTAATGTCTTAATTTACATTATTGGTAGGCGGCAATTATAAAGCACTTGGTTCTTCAATAAATAAATCTTGATGAGCTGAAATGGCTATTTAGTTGCATAAGAACTTTAGCACATTGTAACATGTCTGTTCTAAAGTTGTATAACAATTATTTTGTACTTCTTAACTTTTGCTTTTTTCTACTATTTTAGCAATGATTTTCTGAATAAAAATGAAAAAGATGAATGGTTGGGATTAAAATAATGATTTAATCTAAAATAATTTAACTAAATAATTTGGGATTACTTCTTTGATTTTCTTCATTAATTACAGGTTGCTTTTACAAAGGTTTACTAATTTATAAGATATAGGTACGAAGATTGTTGATTATAGCTCTGAAATGTTGCTCAGTAGTTGGCCTTTTATTGATTGATTAATTGAATTCAATTGTGCAGTTCTAATTTAGGAATATTGTTGATTCAAAATCTTAAGTTTCAAAATCATCAAACAAGATCTATAAATCGTATTAAATTTTATATGAACGTCCGACAATGTTATCAATTATAAATTATTTCTCAACTAAACTTTTCAATATGTAGAGAAGATTATAGAGTTTACTTTTTGAGAGTATTAAATGATTAAAGAAATGATTAAAGTAAATATGCTTCAAAGATTTGGAAAATCGTCTGAAAATTCCCTGAAAATCAATGAAAAATTATTATAATATAAAAAAAAACAGATTATTATTAATTTTTTTTTTATTTCGTCATTGGAATGTTTACAAATTCACATAAGTGATCAAATCACATTCTATACAAACATGGTTACAAGACTAGATTATTAAATATTTTTTTAACATCATTAAAATATTTTAGAATATTTAATCGTGGTATATAAATATTTATACATCTTTTAACAAAACACGCAAAACTTATTTTAGTAATAAAGCCAATGATTATTATTCGTTGGAATAAATGTGTTGTTACTTTTACATTAAAAATGAACAACATGTCCTGAGAAGTAATGAAATTATAAAAGTGCTTGTTACTTAGTTTAACTATTTTATAACTGCTTTTGGCTACAAAGTAAATGCACTTGATGAATATCACATGTCGATTGAGGAGATGTTAGGTATATGATACATTTTACTGTTACTATTGTCAATACAATTTTGACAATTAACAATATACTTATTTATGTGATGTTTACATTTTATGTGATAATATTATCCAACTCTCTTCCAAAGAAAGATTATCTAATTTCGTTGAAAGGAGTTCCGATTGTTACTCGATGATTCATACCAAAGCACCGTGATAATTATATTTGGTATTGTTCGGTACTTTGAAGAAAACCGTTCTTATAAATCTTCTCATCATCAGCTTTGGAACCCAATTGTTCGCAATGGATCATCTAATTTCGATCCGGTGATCCCTAGAGGCACGCGAGTCTGCTCGCTTTTGGCTTCCTCAGGAATGTAAGGCTTGCACACACAAATTAATAATTTCACTATTATTTCACAAGCAAGTAAAAATGCAGAAATCGTTGAAAATTTTAAAACAAATTTCTGCATTTTTGTCATTGTGCAGGAAAGCGGATTGCTTTTGGGAAGAATGCATTGTGGAAGAAGGTTTCGTGGTTTCTTTCCACGGAACGTTGTTCCCGGGCGTTCATCTGATGATCGGACATGTCGTCTCCAGACCAGAGTTGCTGCTCCATTACGAAGTTCAGCAACTCTGAAGTGCTTGTTTTTGACCATACTGATAACTTTTTGTTGGCATCAATCTGTAACAAGAGAAAACGACATTATTATCTACTTATTCAGTTGGGAAACGTCTTATTCTAAGCGTCTTCAGGATAAAGCGGCGAGCATGGTCTTGGTCTTTGTTCTACAAAAAATTCTTAAAAATAGTTCTTATATTTATTGGTAGAGGTTCAGCCAACTATTATGGAAAACCCAGAGTTATGTTATTACTTTCATTAATTTACTATTTCCTGATACTTTCGAATTTGTAGCTAATTCCAGCTAAGTTCGTTGGGTATGTCCTGTTTCTCTATAATGATGTCAACTCGTCGTAATCTTGGGGAACTCCCATTAAGAAACTTTGATGCGGATCGAAAAGTCGCGTTTTGCAATGTTATGTAATTGTATGTTTGTTTTATGATTGTCTTCATTAAGAAATTAATTGTGTAAAATTGACTCGTATATTATGAAGGAGACTAATAGTTTGTAACGCCGGCTGAAATTGTTTGTTAGATTGTTTAGCAAATTTTTTATTGCTTTGTGCTATATGTAAGGTCTCTCTATCAAATTCTATTTTAAAACTATTAAATAAAATTAAAATTTTTAATTCTATCAATTGGCATAGGGCCTGCATAGCTTTCCTTTACCCAGAGTTCGACCTATCTTTTGGCCTCCTTTTTGGAAAAGGGACAAAGCTTTTATTATACCAAATTTTTGCGAGTCATTAAGATCAATTCATTGAATTACGTTTGATTATTTCAAGTGTCATTTCATTGACAAGAAAGTTATTCAAAAACATAATGTTACTGCGTTACATGTTCAATATCACTTTCCAAACGTTCGATGTATGTCAAGTATATGCTCAGTTTTGAGTAAATAAATATACCATAGTATTGGTTGTAATGAATACATTTTTAGTATTCCAAATGCAGATTTTTTTTAATCCCAACTTTCGCTTTCAGTTTGATTTTATTTTGAAACAAATTGTATTAATTAATCATGAACGCGTAGTGATGGTCAGTAAACTACGTAGTCAAATAAAGTATTAAATTTCCAAATATGTAGTTGATTTCTAACTAAGTATAAATATTTATATAAATATAAATATACGATAAGCAATTGCTAATGTAAATAATAAATGTGCGTAGAACCTTTATTATTTAGTTTACAATTTAAGCTTTTTGTGTGCGTTGCATATAGAATTAGCATTTGCATTTAAGCAGGTGAATCATAAGAACTACTATAAACTAAATTGATGCCATTGTCTTAGAATAAGAATACGAATAACAGATTGCGCATAAAATTCTATTATTGAATGTTTCATAATAAATTAATAACATATTTATAAAAATTCATAAATTAAGTGTTCACGCGATAATCTTTGACCTACACGTGAAAAATATTACAGTACGCTCCGATTTATCAATACAATGTTGATATAATTATTAATACTTATCAGATTTTAATAATAATGTATATTAATAATAATGTATTGGTAATAAATGTACTGCTCTCAAACACATCCAACATTTATTTACAATTTTTGATAAGAAGAAAAATAATTCCTAAAACATATCTGTACCTGTGAATCCGTCTACAATTTTTTACGCATTATGATAAAAAAATCTTACGCAATTTTTAACATGAATGGACAAGTCGTAAAAATTGTCTAACACTTTCATATCTTATCATTGACTACTACGTGTTCGCGCATATGTGTATCAGAGAAATTCTTTATTTTGTGGGTTAAGGTCAAATAATTCAATGAACTTTCACTTTGTGTCTACAAAATATTGCTAAAAGTTGTACAATGATAACAAAACTATGACTTACAAACTTATTGTATGAACTTGAATTTTAGTAAAAAAAAGATTGTCATTTCCGAACCATTGTTCGAGCAAATGTGGCCGTTGTACCGTTAAGTGGCTTAATTGTGGAATGCTAATTTTCATATGACTTATTGACCACAGGATCATAGTACGCATGTGGAATGACTTGCGGTATATGAGACTTATACATATGATAGTAGTCGACATCGAAAAAGTTGTATTAAGAATTTTGATAACGTAATTATTTAGTTTTTTAAATTTTGATTTAAATCACTAGAAATTACCAATGTGCTAACATCTGCTCAATTCATTACATTTATAATACTTTGGTTTTGCTACTATTTAGTAAATTAGGTTTATCAACTCATATGCTGCTTCTCTAACCTAACTTAACCTAAATTGTATATTTTTGGGTTTAAAATTTTAATTAGTTTTTTCGCCATTATTCAGTATTTTTTTACTGCTAAATGATTTGATTGTCGAAACTGTGCAATTTTAAATATATTTGTACTTATATTACAATATGATAAACAATAAAGTGATTATTAATAGTAATGAAATGATAATGAGAATAATAAACAGGGGAGGGATAAAAAATCATTCATTGCCTGAGGACAGACTACTATTTATTATTATATTACAATGTATAAAGCTTAAATTTTTCAGGAACCATTTTATTTTTATTGGTGGTTGGTAAACCCTATAGCTTTGGGATCATTTTTTTTAATGCTGATTCAATTTAAATGCAATCAGTTTCAGATTAGACTGCAATGACTCATTATACCCCAGAAACATTTAAGTAAATAATCATCTAATTTGTTTATCTTTTTTGTAATTTGTAATAAAAATTGTAAATGACATTTTTTTGCTATTAATGTTATACTTGATTATTAGACTGTGTCAATATTTATATTTCCATTATTTCTGATGTTGTTTTAAATCTAATTTAATCTAAAGTATCGTCTTCTAAGTACTCGTTCAAATTACAATTACCTATAACTTATTACAAAATTCTGTTTGTGTTTAGAATAAAGCAATTAGTTCATTCTGAGAATTTGCGTGTAACTATGTTATGTGTTTTTACCTATTATGTATATTTATTATCAGATAAGTGTCGGCGTGCCTCGGAAATCGTTGACCATGATGAAGCAAAAATTTCATCCAACTGTTGCGGCATATTATGAAATTCGAATTGAAATCTTGGTGAAATTGTTCCGTGATTTTGCATCAGTCGATTCATTATAATACAATACATTTACATAGCCGAATTGTGCTGAGCGATGATTCACCCAAAGTTTTTTGACTTACTTTTTGCTCTTTTAATGTTCCCGAGGCGTGCGTTAAGGTGAAATATTTTTTCCAAAGGAATGCGATCGGAATTTGTAAAAAAACGGAAGTTATCTCGTACGTTTATTACTTTTTTATTTATTTTATCTGGGTAAAGAATGTTTGTTATGATTATGGGCGTAACATTTTTGTGGTCAGACTGTGGGATCGTGATCTTATAAAAAAAATTACAACTAAATATTCTATACATACTACTATAGCCTTATAATTATATGTTACACATTACATATTATAACATTTATAAAGGTCAACCTTAATCAAAAACTAATCAAAATTAAAAATTAAACCCAATATCTCCCATTGATCTACATTTGTTATTTCTATTCGGTTCAAAGAACATTTGCATTGTTTATATATAATAGATTAAACTAATCTTTTAATTTTGCACTAATCAATTGATAAATTTCTTTTCGATAAAGGAAATATTTGCAGATCAAATTCCAAAGTCTGTTAACAGATGCTTATCATACTTAAACAGACATTATTAGCATTACAAATATTGGCTTTATAGATTTTGACAAATCTAATCATGATTTTAAGATGGTTTCATTGCAATGAACTCTCAGGAGATAATATACAGATCTTGATATTATTTGAGACGCACTCAAGTGCGTTTGTTATGATAATTTTAAAAAGTGTAATTATAATAGCAATAATAAACTGACGTACTGTTTTGTTTATTCTTCGATATCGGATAAATGCATGACGTAAATAGAAATTATTTCAATTCCGTATTAATTTCCCACAAATTGATTCCGATACATTTTCATAAAATCCCGCATTATATTACGGGAAGGTCGCTGATTACAAATGACTATGCAACATTTCATACGATTACTATTCGAAAAAAAACCTCTGTACTGTCTGACTAGACAATGATTAAATTATAATACATTACACACATGACGTAAAAAAAATTATAATGTCGTTCCAAAGGTGTCTTTGTACAACAGACGCCGGCAAAAGAAATTCAATGTAAATTGCGACAATATAAATTGCCTATGCTGGATTTCCTATACCCTTGACCTTTTATCTAACTGTTATTATAATATTTATGGATATCGGCGTGTGTTAAGTCTTGATATACATCATATAAACATAAATTAAACAATACAAACGATAAAGAAAATCACGATCGATTACATACATGTCTCATAATGTGACTGCAGGGACTTTTGCTTGATTTATGATGACGGGTTTCTATGAATTTAATTACTTTGATATTAATGGAAAAGGTGAAATTGTAATTGATACCTTGTCGTAAGAAAATTATAAGGGATATTGTGACTCTAAAGTTACCAAAGACCAAGTTCATACCACACGTCTCGTGATCAAGAATTAAGGAAGCATTGGAAGTCTTATATAATAAATTAATCTCATCTTACCTTTATTATTACGATGCCGTTCTCCACATAGAGTGCCTCCAGGAGCAACTCTCGTAATCTAGTAGCCTTTTTGTTACTATCCCTTTGTACAAGGACAGTTTCGAAATGCACCGAGGTGTTGTGCCCTATTAGGACGTAAACGCAATTTGACCCAAAGTGCACGGAAACGTGGGACTCCGACTCGCGCTCCACCAGCACGTTGCCCAAAGTCTCTGCCATTCTGTAATGACCAACAACTAAAAAACATATTTTTTGAGGAATCATGCAAAGTATTAGTAGATTATTGTAACATGCAAATTGGTAAAAGATAAAGTAACTTGATATACTTGAATTAAAATTAGTGGTTATGTATAATTGAACTTGTCTTAATCCAAAAACTAATCATTCACCCTTCACTCTTTAGTCTGCATTATAATGATTAATATTAGAGATTATTCGATTGAAATTTTGATTTGTGTTGATGAGGAGACATGCAGATTACTTTTTAGCAAAGGTAGGTTTAGCTGTTTTGGATCAAAAAGGGTGAAGAGATTTTGAGAGGAAGTAGCATCCAATTAGAATTATCAAAAAACATTTTGTTTGTGTTGTTGACAGTGTTAAGAAATGGTTAGATTTTGATAAGACAGTTCCAGTGGTTATATTAAATATCAAATTTTTTTTAAACATCATAATTATTATTTACATAGTTTTTGGGAACATAAGAAAGTTCTAAGATGCATTGATTTTAACTTGACTCGATTAGGATTTGTTAATTTATTGCGATCCTTCTAAACATATATAAAAATCGTCGCCCAAATATAACCACTTATATTGTATTAGATCTATAAAATACGAATGATGAAATTTACAGTATGTATAAAAATTATTTGAAATTTCTAACACAATGGGTATTAAGCATTGATCATTTTTATTGATTATGGATTGATTTTTTTTGAATATTTAATATTAATGATTGTGCTTTAAAGCATGCACCACTAGTTTCATATTAAAATCAATTTTAAATTTCACCTAAATTTTTTAGATTTTAATTATTACTTCTATGTATAATATTTATCAGTTCCCAGAACGAAAGCAAAATTCTCAAACACTTATTTTCTTTTCCAAATCAATTATTAGCACATTTAATTGAAGAAATTCGTTCGATTGTTTATTGTTAACGTGTCCTAGTTACATAGACGTTCCAAATATTGGTTCATAAGCACCTATCTAAACTATCATCTTCATATAGTCATGACCTACATTTTGACAATGAATTACCGAATTGCACTTTTAAGCAACTAATTATAATTTGTAATTAATATTGTCGCTATGTGACCGTTGGCTATGTAGTAATATGCCATGTGCTCGTGAGATTATGGTAATCACTTTCACAGATGAAATAATTTAATAAAAGTATTAACACATTCACTGCTGGCATAAAAGTCAGGCGCCGAACGCAACAGGTGCGTTCGTAGTAACTAGTTGTATAAAATGTTTAAATTGAAATTTTGTACTGTAATTATTTCAAGCAGAAATAGTCCTATAAATATAAATTATAACAGAAATACTCCTATAATTTTTCCCTATTTTATTACATTTTTTTATTTTACAAACATGGTTTTATTTAATATTAAATTAATAAGAATGAAGCAACTGCAAGTTAGCAGTGAATGTGTGAAACTTATTAATTTTGCTTTTGTTTAAATTTTAATTTGATTAAATATATAAAATTAGAGACCTGACAGAGATGTGAAAATGTGTAATATTTTAATAAAAACAACTGTTAAAAAAATGTTACTAATTATCTGACATGCATTTAATTAATATTTTTTTTTTTACTATTTACCTCTTTTGTTTCTGGCATATGTCTTGATAAGTAGCAACTTCCAAACACATCTTGGATGATTTTTTCCGGTAGGATCCTTTGAAAAACTTATTGGTTTTATCAAACAATAACTTATCTTCTGAACTGTTATTATCACTCACAACTTTCACTGACCAATCATAATCATTTTCAAAGCCGTTTAATAAGCACAATAAATATTTAAGAAAAATTTAAAAAATTTTTTTTAGAACTTTACGTTAAAATGGAACTGAACGTCCTGGTAAGGATAATGTTGTGTACACTTAAAACTTCAATTAGCACTATTAAAATTTATTTATATTTTTAATTAATTATTAATCAACCTCGTGTTGTTTTGTTTATATCGTGTCAGTATAATTTGTCGTATCTCTGCTGTAACTTGTGTAATAATGACATGCGGTCCGCGGTTCATATGAGTATTTATAAGCGCCGCGATCAGGCCTGGTGGGGATCCCTGTCTGATAGCCGAAGTCTGCGTGCGTAAACCTGTGCTTTGGTTCTTCCTACAGGGAATTACAGAGTTTGCTTGGAAATTTAAATACGAATACAAGCCATTTACTGCGAATGAGTTTGCAAATTCATAACTCCTGCCCCGGGTTAAGTAGTGTTTTGGTTTTGCCAAAAGTTGCTCAATGATTGGAACTTGGAAATTCCGTTCATGAATGACTTAAGTTTTGTTGTATTTGGTCTTTATTTTTGTTTGTAATGTGGATATTTCATAATGTACAATATGAGATTTATTATTAAAATACTGGTGCATGGCATTGCAATGATTTTTGAGGCATTCAAATCGGGTGGTCTGTTCTCTGAAAATTGCCATTCTTGTTACTTTTTGACCAGGATCTCCGAAACGGATGATCCTTGCTCTCGAAATCGTCGACGAAAAATTGTATCCAAACATACACACTCATGCACACACACATCCATTTGTTTGTGATGTGGATATTTCATAATGTACAATATGAGATTTATCATCAAACTACTGGTGCATAGCATTTAAGTGGTTTTTGAATCATTCAAATCGGGTGGTCTGTTCTCTGAAAATTGCCATTCTTGTTACTTTTTGACCAGGATCTCCGAAACGGATGATTATTGCTTTCCAAATCGTGGACGAAAAATTGTACCCAAATATACACACGTACATACTACATACACACACATCCATTTTTTCTAATGAATGCCAAAATGTTTAGAAGATCTTGCAACGTAAAAATATATAAAAAAAATCATTTTCGATTTTTTTCTCAGTATTTGTTAATTCATTCCTCCTGTCCCAGGTTAAGTTGCACTTTGGTTTCCCAAAAGTTGCTCAATGATTTTCGTTTTTTTGCAGCATGAATGAATTCTGGATTTTCCGTTTATGAATGACTTAAGTTTTGTAATTTGTCTTTATATTTGTTCATAATGGATATATTCTAGTGCCTGTTATTTAATGCGACCATTATTTTTATTATTATTAAACTAGTGGTGCATGGTATTCAAATGGTATTTGAATCATTCAAATCGGGTGCTCTGTTCTCTCTGAAATTGCCATTTTTGTTATCTTTTACCCTGTATGTGTAGAACTGCCTTTGCCAAAAACTAATCAGCACTCCTTATCAATAGCAATAGTTTTTTGAATCATTCAAATCGGATGATCCGTGCTCTCCAAATAGTGGACAAAAATTGTATCCAAGTATACACATACACACACATCCATTTTTTTCTAAGCAATGCTAAAATGTTCAGAAGATCTTGAAATGTAAATATATATAAAAAATGTATTTTTGATTTTTTTGCGATTTCTATAACTTACCCTAAGGGAAATTAAAAATGTTTAATTTTTTTTTTCAGTATTTGTTAAAATATATCTTAAGTCTCAGATTAAGTAGGTGTTTTGGTTTTGCCCACAACTTACTCAATGATTGTAGTTTTTTTATTTACAACATGAATGGAACTTGGAATTTCCGTTTATGAATGACTTAAGTTTTGTTATTGTTGATGAGATTTCATTTATTGCTGGGCTTTATATTTGTTTATAATGTGGATATTCCTAAATTCCTTTAAGATGGGATTTACTGCGATCATTATTTTTGTTTATTAATTAAATTTATCTCTATTAGATGCATGAACGCAATATTGATAATTGAAGTCGATCATTTGTTACAAAAATAATAAATAAAACAAAGTTTGAAGAATGAAAGTCATTATTTCTATTTTTAATTATCAAAGAAATGCTTTAGCCTTTATTTTTAAAAATGTTTAAATTATTTATTTCTCAGTATTTGTTAATTCATTTCTTCTGCCCCAGATTAAGTTGTTCTTCGGTTTTGCCCAAAAGTTACTCAATGGTTGTAGTTTTTTTTCTTTGCAACTTGAATGGAACTTGGAATTTGCGTTTATGAATGACTTAAGTTTTGTTATTATTGATGGGATTTTATTTATTGCTGGGCTTTATTTTTGTTTAGAGTGTGGATATTCCTTAATATCTAAAAGATGGGATTTACTGCGAACATTATTTTTGTTTATTGATTAGATTTATCTCTATTAGATGCATGAACGCAATGTTGATAACTGAAGTTGATCTTTTGTCACAAAAATAACAAATAAAACAAAGTTTGAAGAATATAAGATATTATTTATATTTATAATTATCAAAAAAATGTTTTTAGCCTTTATTATATTTATTATTATAAACGTAAACTTTTTTTCTCATACTCAGGTTAAGTCTTGGTTTTGCCAAAACTTACTCAATGGTTGTAGTTTTTTTTCTTTGCAACTTGAATGCAACTTGGAATTTCCGTTTATGAATGACTTAAGTTTTGTTATTATTGGTGGGATTTTATTTATTGCTGGGCTTTATATTTGTTTAGAGTGTGGATATTTCTTAATGTCTTAAATATGGGATTTACTGCGAGCATTATTTTTGTTCATTAATTAGATTCATCGCTATTAGATGCATGAATGCAATGTTGATAATTGAAGTCGTTAATTTATTATAAAGTACAAGTTAATTTATTACAAAAATATAACCTGACTCTATTTGAAGAGTGCAATTTATCATTGTTTAGTTATAACAATGTTTAACCCCTTTTTGTTTCCTTCTTGTTTAAAATATTAAATTAATAAATTTAAGTACAATAAAAAATTTAACTTAATTATTATTAACTTATTATTGTTTGATTTGATTATATGGTTTATTATATGGTTCATTTATGTAAAAGAAACTGGTGCAACTACAAATTTATTACTTGTGATAATTATTATGTTTCCATCTCATGATCAATTAAACAACAATCGATTATGAAAGATATATTTTTTGATTCTGTAGACAATAGTATTTATTACACCATTGATTAATTGATTATGCAAATCTTGATTAGAAATTACTACTTGTATAAGGGAGATTCAAAGTTCAAATTGTGGTTTATTGTGGCTTATCAAAATTATTATTTGGGACTGGTGTTGATAATTATCAAGAATTTGTGATTATCGTTATATCAAATTCTTGCTGAAACCAGATTTTCCGCAGCTAACAATCGGCGTTATCACTTGTGGAATTTTAGTAAATAATTAAGAAAAAATTCCAACTGTCAGTGATTACTTACCTTTCTATCATTATATTATAATTTTTCGTTGTTGATTATGGATTACAGCTGTGGGATTTGAATCAAAAGTTCACCAGGCTCTATCAGCCGTGGACAGTCTGTTGTTGTTGTCAAGTAGTAGTGACATCAGTTTTCACATGAAAATGTAGTTAAAAGTAAAAGTTAAGTGAAAAGTCCTTATCAGCAATTGCTGCACCAATGAAAAAAATCATCAGTAGTACAGAAATTGTTACAAAATATTTCATCATCAAGTGATAGTGCCCAGTCCTGATTATCTTTAAAATCTTATAGATCTCGTTTTATAAGTACTGATTTCTGTTAAATAGAAGCACAAAAGGGATAATTAGTGCTGATCACATCAAACCGAGTTTTAAAGATATTTGGACAATTTCGACCTGGTTAAAAATGATCAATTGATTTGGGAAGTGTAGCAAGGAGGTGGAAATTGGGGAATGCATGTATTTTTCAATCTCGAATTTACAAAAAATTAAAGATTCAAACAATACATAAAAAATAAGTATTAGTTTAGCAATTTGTATCATTCCCAATTCGATTTATTATCATTTTTGTAACTGGAACACTAAATATGGGGAACCCATAATGCGTCATACTCGAGCAGATGTTTGAATTTTTGTTTAGCACCTAATTTGAATTCGGATTAGATTATTTCGCGGAATTGCTTCATGAGCTGACAAGAGATAGCAAGTACGCACACGGCCGGCCGAATTCGCGAATTTGCAAATATTGTCCGGCGGACGAAATGCGTATATGGTCATCGAGATAACGGTGAAATTCGGCGCCAATTGATATATGAATATATTTAAAACCTTGCCTTTTTTGTGATATTGTAAATAACGCCTGTGGTTGTACTTGTCAATTCGAATCAGTTTAATGATTATGTCTTGATTTTATATTTTTTGAATTTGCATAAATTTTATTTTATATGGCAACACAGAATCTGCAGACTTTTTGAATAATTTTACAAATCTACTCATCAATTATGCTTCTAATTAATTAAATTAATTAATTGATTATTATTATTATTTGCTTTTATTTTATATTAATTCAACATACTACGGATCATTTTATTGAAAAATATATTCTTTATTTTTGTGCTCTTTTTATTAAATTTATATAATTGTTCATTACTGTTACTAAATGTTAATTATTTAGCAGTTGTTGAATAAATACAGTAATTAAAAAAATTATGCATCTATTATATTTAACGATAATTTTTTGAAGTTTCATAACATATTTGTTCTACGATCGGCCAAGTCGTTTCTTTGTAATTAGAAGAAAAGTGCGAATTTTTTCGTCAACGTTTTAGCCCACAATCCTGAATTGATTTAAAAAATTCAATAACTGTTTCAAAGATATTAAATAGTTAGATTTTGTGTCTTCATAATTAAATGTTGAAGTTTATTTTTACGATTTTGATGAAACTTCGTATAACGATATATTTTGTAGTCTAAAATAACATACTAAAATATTATGGGCCTACGATAAGCTGTTCAATTATGAAAATCCATCAAAGTTTGGGAT